ATAAGATCGTGACAAGATGTAATTGCTATGACTACACACTTATCTTCTGTTCCCACTTTAACGATTATTCCTGAAGGCTCTTTCTTTCTTAGTGTCATTTGACTGAACTGGGCAAAGAGGAGAGGTCGGAAGCTTCTGGGCTTTTTTTTACTGGATTTGAAAGAACTGACAGACATAGAAAAGCAGCTTTTCCTTTAAACAGACAGAATGACCTACCCACACTCCAGTCCACCTCCTGCACAGCGTCCCCGTAGATACCGTGGCGGCTCGTTCCTCTGAAAGCTGCTGAAGCAAAGATGGCTGTGTGGACTTGGAGGAAAGAGAAAAGGAGCAGGAAAGGCCTGTTTGAATTTCTGCAGAAACAAACAATGAATATGAAACATTGCAACAAGAGAGTTTTCAGATCCAGGTGAATCAGGAAAGCTTCACGTACCGCTCTATGAAGTCCACTGCCTCGTGGACCATCCTCTGTGTCATGTTTTCAGACTTATATGGCTGCTCCACAATGCTGTGGTCCCTCAGGAGAACACAGTTTAAGTATGGGACAACCATGATGAACGCTACTAGCAAACCAGTGACCAAAAGCAACAGAAACATCAAGCTCAGGATCGACCTTCTGCCGATGACCCCGCTGTAGTGCAGCACAACTGTAGTGAGCAAAACGATGCCCATTGTTCTGTATGGCAAATATTTATGGAACTGGAAAATGGTGCCATGTCCAGGCTGGCAGTCCCTCAGGTTAGTCAGAGGGATACCGAAGAAATAATTGAAGCCGTGGTTGTTAGGGTGGTGGCAGTGATCGTCACGGCTCTCACAGTTCAGGCCCAGGTGCCATTTTCCTGCAGACAAGAAGAAGAAACAAAAACTCAGAAAGTAGAAACCCGATTAAGCTCGAAGCCACAATAAGAGAGTAAACTGTACACGTCCTATAACAAACAAATCTCACTACGGTTACGGGTATAAATATTGACATCGGTGTGAGCTCTGTCACTTCATTTTTAGCTGCTAATAACGCTCAAAACTGTCTGCGATGAGCACACGAGACACTCAGCCAAAGACCTCTTTATTCAACTTGTCTGACATAACATTTAATGCTGTACTTAATAGACTGGCGCTTACATAGCACCTGCTGTCTGCATTCATACACCAGCTTTTTCTGTGCCTAAACACTTTTACCCGCATGTTCACACACTCACAGGCACTGGGGTCAACTCAGGGTTCAGCATCTACCTCAGGATACCTCAGGACAGAGCCTAGGGGATCTGGGGCATTCACCACCTCTCTCCTTAACCTGGCTTCAACCAGTCTTTCCCATAGTGTACTTCATGGTATGGCTCATCAGCATTAAAGCTCTGTAGTTACTACATCTGTGCACACCACCCTTGTTCTTCAAAACTCTCCATTCCTCAGGCATCTTCTCACTCTCTGTGACTGTTAAACAGTCAAAGGTCCACTGCCCTGTCTCCTACACATCTCCAACCAACCACCTTTTCACTCTTCATA